TGTCCACGTTACTGGCTCTGCTGGTCGGGGCAGTCATAGTCCCTGTGTACTGCTTAGATGGGACAATGGATAGAGTTGTTTCCGGTTTGTGTGCTGTCGGGATTTCCAGGAGGGGTGCGGCCTAGTGGTGACGGAATGTGGGCAGAGAAGCCAGGGAAAGGTGAATGTCTGCGGCTTTGGAAGTGTGTCCAGGTTATCCGTAGCATGTCTCTTGGGGTGACTTGCATTGCTGGGGAACCTGGGACATAGGTGATGACCATTCGTTCCCCTTTGTGTTATGTTTGGTTGGATTATGACTGGGTGGATTGCCATATGGACTTGTGATCTGCTAGTGTGCTCTGTTACCACCAAGCTTGGTTAATAAAGAGTGCTTAATAAACCTTAGACATGTCTGGTGTGATCTCGCTCGCACCCTGTAACACACCCATTTCAAATATGTAAACATCCTCAAAAAGAAAGTAAATTTATGAAAACAAACAAATGACAGCCTCACGGATCACACTGGAGCTCCCCGTCTATTCCAGGCCACTCTGAGTGTCAGATGCTAATCAATGTGAAAGGTGCACAGATCTTCCATCTGCGTGACAGGAGCCAGCAGCTCCCCCAGAGGGACACCAGGCCCAGACTCTTGGGCTACAGGCACCCCACGAGCCACCTTCGCCACTGGCCACACCAGCCCTGCACTCGCTGCTGAGACCACAGCCCTCTGCGCTCCTCCCGCCTCGAGCTGTCAGGGCTTCTCTGACACACACTCCCCCCAGGGCAGGTGCCCCCCACCAGGTCTCCCGTCTCTTGTACCATTTTGGCCTCCAAGACAGGGCCAGGGCTTGCGGCCTTCAGCTCAGGAGCACTGTCGGTGGATACCACCTGTGAAGCTGAGATGCTGTCCAGCACGGCAAGGTGGACAGCAAGCATCCTGACCCCAGGGACCCGGTCGGACTCCACTGGTCAAGCTTCCAGCCACAGAATAACCCAGCTCAATTTCCCTTTTTATTTTATTTTTTTAATCTGAGAAACAAATGGGCAGACTGCTCATCTGCCAGCCACACCCAGTGCCCACCATGGCCAGGATGCATACCCCAGTGCCCGCCGTGGCCAGACTAGCCACACCCAGTGCCTGTGTGGCCAGGCCAGCCACACCCCAGTGCCCGTCGTGGCCAGGCCAGTCACACCCCAGTGCCCATCGTGGCCAGGCCAGCCACACCCCAGTGCCCGCCGTGGCCAGGCCAGCCACACCCCAGTGCCCGCGTGGCCAGGCCAGCCACACCCCAGTGCCCGCGTGGCCAGGCCAGCCACACCCCAGTGCCCGTCGTGGCCAGGCCAGCCACAACCCAGTGCCCGTGTGGCCAGGCCAGCCACACCCCAGGGCCCACCATGGCCAGGCCAGCCACACCCCAGTGCCCACCATGGCCAGGCCAGCCACACCCCAGTGCCCGTCGTGGCCAGGCCAGCCACAACCCAGTGCCCGTGTGGCCAGGCCAGCCACACCCCAGGGCCCACCATGGCCAGGCCAGCCACACCCCAGTGCCCACCATGGCCAGGCCAGCCACAGCCAGTGCCCGTGTGGCCAGGCCAGCCACAGCTAGTGCCCGTCGTGGCCAGGCCAGCCACACCCAGCGCCTGCCGTGGCCAGGCCAGCCACATCCCAGTGCCCATTGTGGCCAGGCCAGCCACACCCAGTGCCCGTTGTGGCCAGGCCAGCCACAGCCAGTACCCACCATGGCCAGGCCAGCCACAGCCAGTGCCCATCGTGACCAGGCCAGCCACAGCCAGTGCCCGTGTGGCCAGGCCAGCCACAGCCCAGTGCCCGTGTGGCCAGGCCAGCCACACCCAGTGCCCGTCATGGCCAGGCCAGCCACAGCCAGTGCCCGTCATGGCCAGGCCAGCCACAGCCAGTGCCCACCATGGCCAGGCCAGCCACAGCCAGTGCCCACCATGGCCAGGTCTGGCCAGGCTGATGCAGGGAATCAGAAACTCCATCCCTCGTGCCTGAGCCCCCACTGCTCGTCCCAGGGAGTGGGGATCACTCAACATGGGTCACGGGTTCCCTGAGCAGGGCTGTAACTGCTGGGAAGTGCCCATGTGAAGTGGGGTACAGGCTCAGATGTTGGCTGGGCTCTCCCTGGACCATGAGCAACTGCCCTGTCTGGTCCCCAGAAGACAAACCCCACCACTGGGAGCAGCTCCCAGCATGCACTGAGTCAGCCGGCATTGGACCGTGCCTGCCCACAGAGGGGACCGGGAGGCAGAGGAGGACCCCTGAGGCCCCATGCACAAAGCCCTTCATGTGATCCTCTGTGGTTGAAAACCACTGCAAACCGTACTCCGACTTGCAATGGCCGGGGGCACCCCTGGGCTTGGCTGGGGTACCGTCCTGCCTGTCAGGCCTGGGGTCAGTGTCTGGAGGTCGTCTTCCACTGCCAAAGCTCAGAGCAGACTTGGGGCCCCCAGTGCAAACCTCTGGAGGAACTTCCCCCTGCTGACCTGGACAGGGCAGCTGCCAGGGACAGGACCACCCAGAATGGTGGCCCCACCTCCATGAGCCACTCACTCATGCCACCCCCAGTTTGGGGAGACTCAACGCTGAGTGCTGGTGGATGGGGGGACCTAGCCAGGGCCCATGTGCACCTGCGAGTCCCGTCGGGTGTGCTGGCCGAGCTGGCCCCAGCAGCTCCTTCACACACCCCCAAATCCCCCCCACTAACAAAAACAACCCCAAAGCTGCTTCTGGGCCCAGGTCTAGGGTAGGGACAGTCTCTGTGGAGTGGCCAGTGCCTCCTGCCCCGCAGCCACCCTCTGCTCCGCCTCTCAGCACCTACCTCCTCCCAGCAGGACCCTGGGATGGAAGGAAGCAAAAGGAGTGCCCGGGGTGAGCCGCCAAGAGGGCAGCGAGTTCCTTCCCTGGCGTCAACTCTGGGGGGAACTGGCGGATGGCCCGGCCCCCCTCACTGGCTCTGTGTGGCTGATGTGTCTGTGGCAGGTCCTCACCAGCATCCAGGGTCCAGACAGCAGGCCAACTGCTCACCTCCCCACCCGCACAGCACCAGGCCCCAGGTCAGCCGGAGCCAGACCTGCTTCTCCTCTAGGGGACAGGGTGGCTCAGAGATGCTGAGACAGAGACCCCATCTCTGGGGAGGAGGAGGGCAGAGACACCTCCCAGTCCCCACTCTGCTGCAGCCCTGGCCTTCCTGCATAACACTCAAGCACAGGTGGGGACATAGCATCTGTGAAGCCAGAGAGGGCCTGACTCCGTGGCACTGCCCCCAAGAGCTCAAAGTCTTGGGACCCTGCACCCACATAGCAGACCCTGGAGAAGCACCTGGCTCCTGGCTTCAGACCAGCCCAACTCTGGCTGTTGCAGCATTTGGGGAGTGAATCAGCAGGTGGAAGATGTCTCTTTCTGAATAAATCAAACTTTACAAACAAATGCAGGATGCCCGTGGGGCCAAGATCAGAATGAGGACATGGGTGGGGTGACCCCGGCCCCTTGGCTGTGTGAGTGCTGCAGGTGGCTTGGGTGGGGGGCTCACTGAGCTGGCTAAGGCAGCCTCCCCTTACCGTGGCAGTCTTGGCCACCTCCTCAGGACTTCCTGAGGGACTCACAGCCACCAGGCCTGGGCTGGATGTGAAGCCCACCCAGACTGGATAAGAAGGGGAAGGGGCAGTGCTTGGATCAGGAAAGGGGCCCAATGGACCTGGTGTGGCCACAGCTGTGCTCCCAGGCTGCACAGCTCTGCCTGGCCCGTGCAAAGTGGCCGCGGGGGACCACACAGCATGCGGGGGCAGGTGCCAGGTGCTCCTGACCCTGCTGAGTGAGCCGAACCAGGCAAGCAGAGGGCAGGGGCGCAGGCGGCAGGCCCAGGCAGGAAGGGGCAGGCCCCAAGCGGGAGCGGCACAGCGCTGTGAAGCAGCGCACATCTGTCTCCTGGGGCATCCCCGAGGTCTCCCTCTGAGTGAAGGGGACCCCAGGCCCACCTGAAGGATGCCCAGTCCCAATCAGCAGCAAGCATGGGGCACACGCGGGAGTTGCGGGGCCCCCTATTTCCGCCGACCACGCCTAGGTACCATCACCCTGCCTGGCGCGGAGGGAGGGTGCGCAGGGCGCGGCGGCGAAGGGACCGAAAAGCTGTCCCACGACCAGCGCCCGGGCTCCTGCCTCCGTCCACCCACCCCGCCGGCGCCCCGGCAGCCCGCTACTCCTCAGCGCCCACTCCGCGGGTCGCCGGCCACCACCTGCAGCCCGGGCAGCGGCCGCTTTTGTCTCCAAGCTTGGAGTCACGTGGAGCGAGCCCGAAAACCTGCCGGAGGCCCCCGGCAACTGGGCTAGGCGCGGCCTCCGCGCCCGGCCGGCCGTCCAGCTTCCCGGCCCCGGGACCCTGCTCCACGCACACGCCGGCCACCGGACCCGCTCGGAGCGCGCAGGCCACGCGGGGCGCGCAGCCGAGACGCGGCCGCCACGGGCCGCCAGGGGTGGCGGGGTGCGTGCGGGGTGCGTGCGGTGCGGGGAGGGCGGGCAGGCCCCTGATTGGAGCGCGGGGGGCGTGATGTCACGTCCGGCGGGGGAAGCCCTGCCTCGCGCCCCCTCCCCGGCCCCCGCCCCGCCCCCACAGGTGGTGCCGCCGCCCTGGGCGCGGGCGAGGGGCGGCCCTGGGGACCCCGGCGGCGGCGGCGGCGGCGGCGGCGCGGCCCGCGCTCTCCCGGCTGCCCCCGGCGCGCCCCGCAGCGCGCAGCCCGGCGCGGGAAGGGCGGCCCTCCGCGGCCCCGCGCGCCCCGCGGCCCCGGTGCGCCCCGGCCCGCCCGCGCCCCGCCCCTGCTCTCGCCCGCGGCCGCCGAGGGGCCGGGCCGGCGGCGGGGGAGGCGCCGAGCCGGGGCTGCGCGCCTCGTCCGCCGCGCGCTGGGCGGCCCGAGCGAGCGGCCGGACCTCGCGCCCCGCGCGCCCCGCGCCGCCGCCGGCTTTGTTGTCGCCGCGTCCGGAGCGCGAGGCGCGCGCCGGGACCTTGGCTCTGCCCTTCGCGGGCCGGGGCTGCGCGGGGCCCGGCCGGGATCCGAGGAGGGCGCGGGCCGGCGGCGGGGGGCAGCGCGGCCGCCACGCCATGGAGCCCCGGGCCCGGCGCTGGTGGCTGCTCTGCGCGGCCGCCGCGCTGCTTGCCTGCGCCCGCGGAGACCCCGCCGGCAAAAGCCGCAGCTGCAGCGAAGTCCGGCAGATTTACGGAGCCAAGGGCTTCCGCCTGAGCGACGTGCCCCAGGCGGAGATCTCGGGTGAGTGGGGGTGTCTGCGGGCCCGGACCCCGGCGCTCCGGGGCTCCCTGGCGCTGGGCCCCGAGCGGCCGCCTGCCCGAAACACAGGATCTCGCCGGCCCCCGGCGCCCCCGCGGCCCTCTTTGGGTCCCAACTCCCAAAGCGCACCGCGGCCCGTTTCGGCGAAGCCGCTCCAGCCGGGCCCCGGGCCGGGCGCTGGCCGCCTTTGGTGCGCTCCGCCGCGGCTCGGGCTGGGCGCCCCTGGCCCCCGAGTCCCGGCGGGCGCCAGTCTGGGTTGCGGGGCGGACTCCGAGAGCAAGCCGGAGCCGCTCGGGGTTGCCCGCGCAGTCCTGCGCCCCAGTAGCCTGAGTGGATTTTGCGCGCTCAGACCCGCCCTCCGCCCCCCGACCGCCAGTGGGCCCCGGTGCGGGCTGCGCGACCCGTACCCGCGGGCTGTGCGCGGCGCTTCGCGAACTTGTGCCGCCGGCGCCCCGGCCCAGCGCGCGCCAAGGCCCCGCCTGGCACTCGGGGCCGCCGGGAGCCGCGAGGCCAGCTGCAGGTGGTCGGCGCCCGGGAGCCCGCTCGGGCCCTGCCGCGCCTTTGTAAGAACCGCGCCCGGGCGGCCCCGGCCCTGCAGCTGCCTGCGGTCCGCGCCCTGAGCGCCGAGGACAGAAGCGCCTGTGAGCTCGGACGGCGGGCGCAGGGTGCCGAGGCCGCCCAGATCCGCAAGCGGGTTAAAGCCGTGCCTTCACGGGGGCCTGGGCCCCGGGCCGAGCAGAGCCGACCCCATGCCAAGTGGGCGTGTGGGGGAGGGGCGCCCAGATGGTGCTGGGGGAGACAGTCGCCCACCGCAGGGGGAGGCAGCGTTCTGTGGCCTGCTGAGCAGTGGGTGGGCTCTGGGCACTGTCCCAGCACAGCCCCCCCCCCCCCGCCCTGCGCTCCCCTGCAGATGTAGAACCCTGTGGTCAGCGCTGGACCGTGCATCTGAGGCCACACACCTGGGTGCCCGCAGCCCAGGACCTGGCACGGTTTGCCTTGTGCTCTGCTCTGCCTTTCACTCGCTGTAAGTGTGAACTTGGTGCCGGACTGCTGCCCCCGCCCCAGGGCTGGCCTTAGCAGTCAGCTCCTGCCCTCAGCCACTCCCATGGGCTCTGGCACCCTCTTAAGGCCCCAAGTACACTCATGGCTACCGACTGCTGTCGATTTGAGGCCGAGTTTGGGCAGTCCCTGGGGACGGGCAGAGCTGGACTTGGGTGGCCTGGGCAGGGGCCCGGGGCCAGCGGGATGTGCTAGCATCCGCGTGCAAGGGGCTGGTTGTCTAAGCGGTGCCCATCTCGGCTGTGCGAGGCCAGGAGCCACTTCCTCCCTCCCTGCCCCCTCTGCTTTGCCCGGTGACACTGGGACCCCACAGGGCCCAGGCACTTGGAACACCTCCACAAGTCTCCGCAGTACTTAGTGGCCTTGCCCGAGGCCCCCTCCTTTTGGCTGCCACCGGGCCGGGCCTTTGGGGGCCGGGCGCCCTCTGCTGGCCCCTTGTCCACACGCTCTCCCTGCAGGCCGGAGCCTTCCCACCGAGCACCCCTGGACTCCACTCCTGGAGGGAGCTGGGCTAAGAACTGGTGTTCTGAGCCTTGGGAGCCAGAGTGGGGGCACCTGGAGCTCAGGCTGTGAGCCTTGCCAGCTCTTGCCAGCTCTGGTCGAGGCCTGAGTTCCTGGCCAGCTCTGACCACGGCTGCTGTCCCATTTTGCAGGAGAGGAATGCCGGCAGGGCCTCCCTGTGCTGGGGCGCTGGCCTCCTCTGCACTGCTGGGCAGGAGCGTGGCCTGCCTCCTGGCCCTGCCCCCATTTCTGACCCTTGGGAGTTCTCCGAGTACCTATCTAGCCTATGGCTGGTGCTGTAGGGTGCCCACGTTTGTCCCACTCGTGCCCTGCCGTGCAGGGGTGGGAATAGTCACAGTGCCATTCTCGGGTGCCCAGGCCTGGGTCTGAACATGCGGGTCCCCGAGGTTGGGACGTGGCCTAGGGAGGGCCTGCCGCCGGCTGTGGTGCACACCTGGGACGCGTCCTTGCTCTAGGGGCTCCCCCCATCCCATGAGCTTGGCACAACCTAGGCTGATCGCTGTCCCCTCCTGCGCGCCCCCGTGGCTGCATGCAGGGCCCCACTCTGGTCTCGTCCATCATGCCAGCCACCCGTATTTCGTCATCTCTAGCCTGAGGCCTGCGCTCTGAGTAGCCCTCAAGGGAGTCGGGACCCGGCAGGCCACCTGTGTGACGCAATAGCCAGTCCCTGGTGCAGCCGGTGCTGGACAGCTGGCCTGCTCCTCCGACAGGTGGGGAGGGCAGCTGTGTGTCCCTGGGGATCTGGGCCCCTTGGCAGAGATGCTCCTGCCCCACGCCGCCCCGAGAGCAAATGCTGTCCATTGGGGTCTGCTGACCATGCTGGACGGCTGCCCCGGCCTTCTGGTCCCCCGGCCTGCAGACTTGCCCCGTCTAGGCTGACCACTGCCTGGCCAGTCAGTCATTCACATGGCCAGGCCCAGGACGCTCAGCGTGACTGGAAGGAGGGAGTGCATGGTCAGTTATACACACGCCTGGGCACAGGTGTCAGCAAGGCTGGTGCCAGCCAGGAGTGAGGCGGGAGAGGCAGAGTGCTGCTGCTGCCCAGGTGGGAGCCCCACATGTCGGGAGGGGCTCTAGGCCATGGCCACTGGGCCAGGGGGCAGGAGCGCATCCACCGGGTGCTGTAGGCTTGGCTCAGGCCCAGGTGGGAGCCCAGGGCAGCCTGCCCCTGTCCCAGCTGTTCTTGGTCAGCCTGTGACTTCCACATGCCTGTTGCATGGCTCCTGTAACAGTGGGGAATTCTGGGTAAGCTTAGGAGCCTCTGGGGCCCAGCCCCACACCCACCCCGTTGTTCCCACCTGCTGGCCTGTGTGCCCCTTCTGACCAGGCCCCTGTGTCCACTCCTGGCCCTGCCCAGTGTTCTCCCTGCCCCGCCCAGGGCTCCTGACTCTGGGCAGGACCTGGCTCCGCTCACTGTGGCAGGGCCAGGGTCTGTGTTTCCTGGGGCTATGTGAGGGTGCCCAGCACCTGCAAGAGTATGGGACAGGCCCTGCCAGCCCCTCCTGACCTGGCACCCCTGGTCAGGAACTTGCCTTCTCTTGCCCTGGGCATTGCTGGGGGCCTATGGAGCCAAGCCCCCCCACTCAGCATGGTTTTAGGGGTCCTTCCCAGCGCACACCTGCTCCCCATCGGCCCTGGCCCTGCCCTTTACCCCAGTGCCCACTGAGGGCATCCTCCTGTGGCTGTCACATGCTGGGGACAGTGAGGACCCTAAGATCTTGTCTGGAGCAGGGCTAGTGTGGCCCATGGCCAGAAGAGTCATGACTTGGCGCCAGTGTGTGATGCACGGGCCCAGCCCCATGGAGTGGAGGCCTCCAGGTAGAATAGGTCCAGGACCCTGGCTGGGCCGGGAGGTGGGCTCCTTGTGGGCTCCGAGTGACAGGACAGCTCCTGGGCACTCTGGCCACCTGCTCTACCACCCTTGGCTCTTAGACGTCTTGCCACAGCCCAGGCTCTGCCCAGTGTGGGGTCCTCTGAGGGCCCGGGCTAGAGCTGGCTGGTCAGGGTGGCCCTTGGGCAACTTGGTCCCTGGGGATGGGGTGCACCTTCAGGAGGCAGGTGGAGTGAGAGAGGAGCCCCGGGTGTCCAGAGCTGGGGAGCATGTCTAGGTATGGCAGTCCGCACAGGGGAAACTGAGGCCGGGGAAGGGTCCAGGCACCCTAACAGCCAGCACCTGGAAGACGGAAGCAAGGCTCACTGACCATAGCCAGGGGTCTCCACAGGGCAGGGCCTGAGCTCTGCTACCCGCCTTCCTGGTCAAGGCCTTTGTCTTGCGGCCCCTGCACCCAGGGAGCTCAGCTGGGTTCCCAGAACTGCCCCTAGGCCTCGTCTGCACCCCAACCAGGGGCCCCCTGGGGTGGGGACAGTGGGAGCAGTGCTCCCTGCTGGGGGCAGTGCCTGGCCCCCCTCAGCAGCCTGGTGTTCAGAGCCAGCCCTGCCGTCCGATGATAACCTGGTGCGTCCTGCAGTGCCCGCTGTGACCACTCGCCAGCCCCTGGGGAGTGAGGAAGCTGACGCCATCTACCGGCAGGATTGGCTCAGCACACACAGCCCTGTGGTTGCCATGGTGCTCAGGACACCCTGACCAGAGCCGCCTTAGAGGGACAAGTCTTGCAGCCCACACGGACGGCACCCCGTGCAGAGCTTGTCTAAGGCAGGACATGGGGTGCGGATCACACACCTGCAAGGTCAGTCCCTGGGCTGAGGTTTGGCTCCCAGCAGGAGCAGTCCAGGGCTTGTCCGCCGGTGGGGGCGAGGACCCTGCGCGGTAGGGAGCATCCTACATGAGGCAAGCAGCAGCCCTGGGGAGGGCATTGTTGAGGGGGCAGGGCTGGGAGGTGGGCCGCCTGCAGGATGAGCACGATGGTGGGCGTGGGGCGAGGGCTGTCTGCTTCCTGCGGGAGTTGAGGCAAATGCGTCACCGCTGGGACCACTGGAGATGTGACACAGAGGACAGACCACCCATGGCCAAACAATGTCAGAGAGACTGGGTGCTGTCCTAAGATGGGGTGGGCGGGGTCCCTGGGGGAGGGGGCTGCTTGCGCAAGTTCCACATGGAGCCCCTCGGCCCCTACCTGTGCTCAGGGGCCACATCTCCCCCTCACAAGGTGACCGTTCTTAGCCAAGCCGACCAGCTGGAGGGACACTCCCACCATGCGCTAACCGGGTGCCAGGTGCCCTCCTGTGCTGCCCTCCAGGCCCTCTGCGAGTGTCCCACTGCAGGGAGCCCAGTCCCCACTTCCTCATGCCAGGAACCTGGAGACCAGGAGCCCCAAGTGCTGGACTAGAAAGAGGACGGGCGGGAAGGAACTGGTCCCCCTGGCAGGGCAGGGTAAGGGGTGCCTGCCCACCTGGTACTAGGACACCCCAGGTGTCCGGCACCCTTGGCATGGGGTCTGGGCCCAGAGGGCATGGGGTTTCACAGTAGCAGGGAAGAGGGGGCAGGGACAGGGCCTGGTTGCAAGGTAGGTGTGCAGCCCAGGAGACCCTGCTCTTGCTGCCCACCTGGGGTTCCTCTGTGTGTGCAGCCCTTGTCCTGTCTGCCAAGCTCCCGGGGGTGATGGTCAGTCACTGGTCAGAAGAGCTTGGCAGCCACTCTGAGATGGGAAGGGTGTGCGTGTGCCTGAGTGTGCTGCCACGTCAGCCTGGACAGTCCACTTCCGGGCAGGCTGATGGTCCTTCCCATGGCCATCACCGTGGCAGGAGGTGGGGCTCAGGAGCCAGTGCCCCTGCCCTGTGACCTTGGCAGTGCTGACTCTCTGGGCCGGCAGTGACCCCTTCTGCTTTGAGGGGAGGCCATGGGCAGAGAGGGGCCTACCAGATGGAACCCACAGCTGCATCTGCAAAGCTGGGGCAGGGCCACGTAGGAAGTACTCTGGGGGTCGGCCTTGGAAGCTACCAGTGTCCAGAAGGGACCCCACTGACCGCTGGTGGGACACGGGCTGTGCTGAGGTCTCTCCTCTCACATCCTGGAGCCTGGTCCCTGTCCTGTCAGCTGACCAGGCCCAAGTCTGGGTGAAGGCAGGCAGCACCATGATGCCGAGAGCTGTCGGGGGCAGGTACCCCCTGCCAAATGGGTGTGGGCACTGCTGGGCCTGAGCTGGGAGTGATTGGGTGTGCTGGGCCCTAGGGAGGGGCAGGGCAAGCAGACCAAGGAGGGTCACCTTCCCAGACATCCTGGACCCTTGTCCTTGTGCTCAGGACCAGGTCTGGGTCATCTGTCCCCACTCCTGGTGTACTGGCCGTCCAGGTCCCAGCAGCTCCTGATCGGGGGCGGGGAGGGTGTAGGCCAGTGGGGTAGCCAGGCCTGGGTTTGCACACAAGGCACCGCCGTGCTGGCCAGCCACGAGGAAACATGCGTCCCTCCAGGAGGTGCCTGGGCCAGGGAAGCAGCTGGCCATCTGGCACCAGGTCTGGGAGTGGGCGAGCCCCTTAATTCCCATGAATCTCGGTGGTCTTATCTTGTGCCCCAGGAGTATGCTGGGCTGGGGGAAGATGGGGTTTCTCCTGCAGCCTGGGTAGGTGACCTGTCCTCCCAGAGGCAGGCACAGCGGCAGATAAGCCCCTCAAGGGCTGCCAGATTTTGCCAACAAACTGACCAGGCATCCGGCAGGCAACAGATGCCACCGTGACGCTGGCTCCAGTCTCATCTGCAGTCTGACCCCCCCCCCCCATGGGGGAGTGCCCAGGTTGTGTGCTGGCCTGCTTGCTCAGGTGCAGCATGGGGGTTAGCTCAGAGGTGGGGTCCCTGTGCCTAACTGGGGGTCCTGTGTTGAGCTCCACTCTCGTCCATCCCTGTGGGAAACAAACTGGTGGGTGGGAACTCCTTCCACTGCCCACCCCTGCTTTCCTTTGACAGTCTGACACCTGGTTGAATGGGAATTGCAGCTGGACAATTATCCTGTATGTTTTCAGGTGTTTTAATACTCTGACCCAATTATGAACAAGTGGCTAGCCCTGGTATGCCTGCGTAGCTAGCATGGAGCGCAGGCCCTGGTCCTGTGTCTCGTGGTCAGATGTACACAGCACACATGTCCATCTTGCCCACTCCTGAGCTGTGCGCCGGGGGCTGCCATGGCGACATGCCACAGGGGCGTCACCATTCAGCCCCCATCTCCGTCTCCCCTCAGCACTCCAGGCCTTCCCCAACCCTCACCCTGCTTCCTGCAGCCGTGACAGGGCGGAGTAGCCCTCTGTTGGCCTGGTTTCTTTCTGAGCTTGGGGGACTCCCACGGGCTGTCTGGGCTTCTGCTCAGCTTCCCCCAGGAGGGCCTGCAGCTGTGACCCTTCCCTCCCCCAGCGTGTGCAGGGCCAGCCCAGGCCACCGATCAGAAACCACACAGTGTCCTGGTCAGCACATAGGGGCTGCTTGCCCAAACTGGGCTCCTGGTTTGGGAAGGCCACCTGGGGTTGGCCTCAGCAGGTCCCAGCCACTGAGTGACCACAGGCATGTCCCTCGCATGTTGGCTGCATCAGTGAGTGAAGCTTGGCCAGGATGAAACCATTCTAAAACCTCAAATGGCTGAGTGTTGCGGGGGTCCCCGTGTACCCCTCCTTGATTGGGGGTAGGCCATCACCCCAACAGACCACTCCTGCATCCTGTTAGCACGTGGGCTGGCAGAGGTTCTGGGTGCCCTCTTTGCCCTAGCCCCTAAGCCAGGGTCCCCTCTGGAGGCTCGACGCACAGGAGGCACTGGCTATCCAGTGGACCAAGGTGCCCCACATCTGGTATTGGCTGGAGAGTGGCCTGGCAAAGCAGGTCACTCGGACCTCTGCTGGGCCGGGTGCCAGGTCAAACTCTCCTGGGACTGGGGGATAGCTCTGCGGGTTGGGCCTGCTGACCTGTCCAGAGGGCACAGCACCTGGTGAGGGCCAGGAGCTGCTGTGTGTTTCCAGGGGCTGCCAGGCAGGTACTGGGGGCCTGTGGTAGCAGGGTGTGGTGGACGGCCACGGATGCGTGCACCGTGAGAGGGGCTGCCCAGGGTGCAAGCCGCTGCTTCCTACCCTGTCGCCCGCTGGGGATGCGCCCTGACCCAGGGAGCAAAGCTTAGGTCCGTGGGACCATAGATGGGCGCGGCCCCCGCAAGGCAGGTGGGTGTGAACTGGGGATACCTGTGGTTCCCAGGGAGACAGGGAGGGTGACAGGCGGGGGCGGTGGCACTGCATGCCGCCTCTTGCTGGAGCCGCCCTCGGTGGCGCGCGTGTCCCCCTAGCTGCTCGGCCACTGGAACCGTTGCTGGCCAGGATGGCACCACCTTCCCCTCCCTCGCAGCCCTTCCTCCTCCGCTGCCCCGCCCCCGGGACCCCCTCCCGCGCTTGCTCTCCCGCATCCCTCCTGCGGCAGCCCCCTCCCTGCCTCCTCCGCCAGCCGCGCCCACTGCGGCAAGCCCCTTCCCTGCCAATCGCCGCGCCCCGCGCCTGCCTGCCGCAGCCCCCACGCTCCGCCGCCCGCCCACTGCGCCAGCGCCCCCTCCTCTGCGCCGCCCGCCAGCCTGCAGACCCCTGCGCTGCCCGCGGCTGCTGGTCCACGGCAGCCAGGGTGTCCAGGCCCCGCGGAGCCTTTGTTCCGCGGCTGACGCCCTCCCTGGGACCCTGCGGTGGAGTGCCGTGGCCGAGAGCTCCCAGGCGCTGCCGGTTGCTCGGGTGAAGTGCTGGGGGCGGGCAGGAGCCGGGTTGCAGCTGCCTTGGGCAGTGGGGAGTATGCGGGGCAGAGCCGGGTGGACATGGCTGGGTTGGGGGCTGGACTCGCCCATCAACCAGAAAGCCTCCTGGAGGGGGAGGGACTGGCACAGCTGGAATGCCAAGCCCGTTGGAGGGTCAGGGCTGCTGGGTGCACCCGTGGGTGGGCTGCTGTGGGCAGGGGTCCTGGCGAGGCTTTGGGGTGATTCAGGGAGGCCACAGTGGCAGGTGGCATGAGGGAGGGTACCTGGGGTGTTTGAGTCGCTGAGGCAGGGGTTTTGGGGGTAGAAGGGCTCCGATCTGGGGCGGAGGGGGCCATAACCCCTTCTTTGGTTGGGCACAGAGGGCTGCACACATCTGTGGCCACCTCCACACAGGCTCCCGGCCTTTTACCCAGAGTGGGGGCGGGGGTGCCTCCACCCTGTGGCCAGGCCTGAGCTGGGTCAGGGCTCTGCCAGCAGCCGGGCGCCCCACACGGGCCTCTGGGGGCCGCCTGGCCCAGCCTGCCCGGACCCTCAGGCCAGTGCCCAGGCTCTGGCTCCGTGTCTTCACTCCCGTGTCTGTCCGAGGAGGGAGGGAGGGACGGGGGCTGTGCTGGGGCCGCTGGAATAGCACGCGACACTGGGCCGGCTGGGCAAGGTGGCCGGGCGGACCTGGGGGCTCCAGGGGCTGGTGGGGGGAGGGGAAGGGGGCTGGGGAGGCTCGTTGGGCGAGGGGCCAGCCGTGGGGGGTGGGCTGAGGGCTGTGGTCACCACTGAACCTGAGCCGGCACTTGGCACCCCCTCCTGGCACACAATCTGCCGGCTCCTATCCTGCTGGGGGTGGGCACGGGCATTCAGCCCCTTCCCTAAGGGGGGAAGGCCCCCTGCCTCAGCCCCCAGCCCAGCAGAGTCCCCTGCTCCACCATGCCTCTCACTGAGGGTCCCTGTCTGGGAAGGGGCTGTCCCACCCCCAGCTTCCCCTGACACACCCACCACATCCTCCCACTGGGTTCTGCAGTGGATCCTTGAGGCAGTGCTTACAGATGGCTGGGGGCCTCAGAACATTCCAGAATTAGATGCAGGAACAGGGGAAGAGGAACCTCCCGCTAGGTCCAAATCCCAACCTTCCAGGCCCCATCTCTGCTGCTCCCCTCTGGGGGCTATCTGTGGGGTGTGGGCCGCCCCCAGGCTGGGGGCAGGTGTCTGTAGGAGCCTCCCCCTTGTGTGACTGCAGAACAGAGCATAGCTGAGCTAGCGTCAACCACGGAGGCTGAGCTCCCTGCTGCACCCTCCCATCCCCTGTCCCTGCTCCTCCATCCCCTGTCCCTGCGCACGGTGGGAGGGACCACTCCAAGGCCCGCCTCCCACGGGAGGGGAGCTCAAGGTGGGATGCAGCAGCCTTGTCCAAATGCATCTGGCACCTTTGCAGATGTGTTCCATGCAGCCGGCACCACCCTCCAGTGTCTGTGGGCAAGGGGCATCCGTAGCAGCACCTGTCCCCCATAGGAGCGTGTCCTGGCTCCTGGCTGGGTGCCCACTACAGCCGGTGCTAGCTTAAACACCCACCGCCCTCTCCACTGCCCAGCTCCGGGGTCCGGGCAGGGGGTGCTAGCCGCCAAGGCTGTGCCCAGGAGAACCCCATCCTGGCTCCCAAGCCCTGGTCCCCCTCACGCTGGCCCCTCCCCACAGGCGAGCACCTGCGCATCTGCCCCCAGGGCTACACCTGCTGCACCAGTGAGATGGAAGAGAACTTGGCCAACCGCAGCCGCGGGGAGCTGGAGACGGCACTCCGGGACAGCAGCCGCACCCTGCAGGCCATGCTGGCCACCCAGCTGCACGACTTCGACGGTGAGTGCAGGTCTCACCCGTACTCTCCTGTGGGTTCACAGAGGGTGCGGTTCAGGGAGCCTGGGCATCCCCCTGGTGTACACTGCTCAAGCCAGCCCCAGTGTTCAGATGGGGAAGGCACGTCCTTGGGCCTCTTAGGGACCCCTCTGTCCTGGGCACTGCAGGGGGCTAGCCTCCTCAGGAGTCGGGCATCCCAGCCCCCTGGAGCTGAGTCCGCAGTCTGCAGTGGTGGTTGGGGGGTCCTGGGTGTCCTCTACAGACCTCTGCATGGTGGTGAGCTGTCCCTTTGCCCTGTGGGGCCCACACAGGGCTTTGTTGAGCGCTGCAGTAGCCTGAGGTAGTGATGCATCAGCAGGGAACCCTGTAGGGGACCTGCCAGTTCTCCCCCAAATGAGCTTCAGGCTGAGGGGTTCAGCCAGTGGGAGTGGAGGGAACTGCAGGGACCGGCCACATGACCTCACCCTCGGCCTCTGCAGACCAGTTCCAGCAGCTGCTCAATGGCTCGGAGCGCGCCCTGCAGGAGGCCTTCCCTGGCGCCTTCGGGGAGCTGTACACACAGCATGCCCAAGCCTTCCGCGACCTCTACGCCGAACTGCGCCTCTACTACCGCGGTGCCAACCTCCACCTGGAGGAAACACTGGCTGAGTTCTGGGCACGTCTACTGGAGCGCCTCTTCCGGCAGCTGCACCCCCAGCTGCTGCTGCCCGATGACTACCTGGACTGCCTGGGCAAGCAGGCCGAGGCGCTGCGACCCTTCGGGGACGCCCCACGGGAGCTGCGCCTGCGTGCCACCCGCGCCTTCGTGGCCGCCCGTGCCTTTGTGCAGGGCCTGGGCGTGGCCAGCGATGTGGTCCGCAGGGTGGCACAGGTGCGTGCATGTGGCTGCCGGGACTCTCAGGGGGCCCACTCTCTGTCCCGCCTCCCACCCGTGGTGTGCAGGGCAGGACGGAGGAGAGCTGGACACTGGCCAGACTGCTGGGGCTCAGCTGGGGCTGCAAGGCCAGCGTGCGCCTCACCCACAGGGCTGCACACCCACACCAAGCCCCTGGGGGAAGGGCAGGTGGGGAGGGCTTCAGCCAGGGTCCTCACGAAGTCTGGTGCTCTGCCCCCACTGGCTTTCTTCATCTGCTTGGCAGTGGTGATGAGGTGTGTCCACGCTTCCCTGGGGGGGTGGTCAGTGATGGCAGGATGCTGGGCCCCCATGCCCCTCGAGGCCTGGTGGCCGGCCACTAGGTGGGCTCACTGCCTCTCCCCCAGGTGCCCCTGGGCCCCGAGTGCACCCGCGCCGTCATGAAGCTCGTCTACTGCGCACACTGTCTGGGGGTCCCGGGTGCCCGCCCCTGCCCTGACTACTGCCGGAACGTACTCAAAGGCTGCTTGGCCAACCAGGCCGACCTGGACGCTGAGTGGAGGAACCTCCTGGGTGAGGCCCTGCCAGGCCTGTCTGCTGGGGCAGCGGGGGGGCGATTGGTGCTGTGGGTGCACCAGGCCAGTGTGCACAGGGGGTGATGGGAGGCTGCCTGTGCGTGTCAACACCCATGCACTGTCCGCTCACACGTCCTGCACTGACGCGTGCGTGTCAACACCCATGCAGACTCCATGGTGCTCATCACGGACAAGTTCTGGGGCCCCTCGGGGGCAGAGACGGTCATCGGCAGCGTGCACCTGTGGCTTGCAGAAGCCATCAACACCCTCCAGGACAACAAGGACACACTCACGGCCAAGGTTGGCACTCATGGCCACCATGGGCCGGGCGGGCCCAGATGTGGCCCCCACCGTGCCCCTCCAGCACCCCTATGTGTCTTCCAGGTCATCCAGGGTTGTGGGAACCCCAGGGTCAACCCCCAGAGCCCAGGGCCAGAGGAGAGCCGGCGTCGAGGCAAGCTGGTGCTGCAGGAGAAACCTCCCACAGGCATACTGACCAGACTGGTAAGCGCCTGCCCAGCTGTCCCTGCCCCATGCATGGCTCAGGCCAGGCCACCCCAGCTGCCCAGTGCCCTGCCTGCTGTCCTGCAGGTCTCTGATGCCAAGGTCAGGCTCCGGGATGCCCAGGACTTCTGGATCAGCCTGCCGGGGACGCTGTGCAGCGAGAGGATGGCCGTGAGCGCTGGCAGCGACGACCGCTGCTGGAACGGCATGGCCAAGGGCCGGTAGGTGCCCGTGTGGCCCCGCCTCCCGTGACATTGTGGATGCAGGAGGCCCCCTCAGCAGCCAGCTTGTTCTGGGAATCCCTGGGGCTGGGGCATTGGGGCAGTGACTGGGGGCCCCCCGCCCTGTTTCAGGTACCTCCCCGAGGTAATGGGTGACGGCCTGGCCAACCAGATCAACAACCCCGAGGTGGAGGTGGACATCACCAAGCCGGACATGACCATCAGGCAGCAGATCATGCAGCTCAAGATCATGACCAACCGGCTGCGAGGCGCCTTCAGCGGCGATGACGTGGACTTCCAGGACGCCAGTGAGGCTGGGGGGCCGCAGGAGGGGGTAGGGAGCCCTGTGGGGGCGGGGGGACCACGCCCCCTGCGCCCCCTGCCTTGTCCTGGGGCCTGCTGAGCCCCTGTCCTGTCTCTCAGGTGACGATGGCAGCGGCTCGGGCAGTGGAGCTGGCTGCCCCGAGGATGTGTGTGGCCGCAGGGTGGGCAGGAAGAGCTCGGGCTCACGGACGCCCTTGACCCACGCCCTGCCCGGCTTGTCAGAGCGGGAGGGGCAGCAGACAGCGGCCGCCAGCTGCCCCCGGCCCCAGGCGTCCCCGCTGCTCCCGCTGTTACCCCTGGTCCTTGCAGCAGCTGGGCCCTGGTGGCGGTAACCACCCACAGCCCAAGGACGGAGGCCCAGGACAACTTTGCCAAAACAGGACAGACAACGTGACCCTCCCCATGGCCAGGAGAGGCCGGCTCTGCATCCTACCCAGCCTCTTCCTGCACCCTCAGGTCAGCTGGAGCCAGTGCTCCCCAAAGCCATGTATTTCAGGGACCTTGGGGTAGCTCCCCGCCGGAGGCCTGCAAGGAGTGGCCGGGAGCCACACCTCCCCCGAGACCGCGACTGCGGCCTGTGCCTTCCTCTCCTGCCACCTCCCCGGGGCCTCGCCGCAGCCCCCAGCCATCAGGCGGGTGGTCGAGGGTCCTCCTGGGTGACCCTCCTCCAGCTTGCCAGGGCGCTGAGCCACACCCTCCCTCTTGCGCCCAGACCCACTAAGAGGGCTCCCCCGTGCATGGACGGGGCCCTGCAGGCCTCCACTCCGCCCTGCTCCCCAAAGGTGCAGTGCTGCCCACAGCCCCAGCAAGCAGCTGGACCCTCACTGCGTGGGGTTGCCTGGCCACTTCAGCCACAGGGATGTGGGACAGCTACAGATGCTGCAGCCCAGAACAGGACCCCCTAGCCCCTCCCTGAGCCCAGGCGGCCATGCGGCAGAGGGGAGCCGCTTGGCCACGCGCTGCTCGAGCCAGGCAGCTGTGGAGAGCTCGTCATGAGCTGGCTCACCGGGGCCTCTCGGGGCTTAGTGCTGCCTAGACACTGGTGTCACCAGCTCCCTCTAGGGACTGGGGCACAGTGAGCTGCTGTGGTCAGGAGCCCTGAATGCCCCAGGCCCACAAAGGCCGCTTAGCGCTTCTGCTTCTCCTTGCTGGGCCCCGTGGGCTGAGGTCTCTGATCCCCACCATGCAGGGGCCGCAGCTGGGGTGGGCCCTGGGCGAGCAGCCCCCCCGGGTGCAGGGACAGGAGCATCTGTGGAGCCCTGCATGGCTGCTGCTGGTGCCTGCCTGGCACCGGAGGGGCAGCCCAGGCAGATCCCCCGTGGCTTGACATTGGTGGGCGATGTGTGATCTTTGAGTCCTTGTGTGAATAAAAGGCTGGAGACCCACAGCAGGACAGGGCCTCACGTCTGTCGGCTGGCCTTGCATGCCCTGGCAGAGGCCATGTGTGCGTGTCCTCTGTCTCCAGGAGGTGGGAGGGCCTTGAACACTGACCGCCCCTGTGCTGTTCCCCAGCCAGCCACATCCAGGGTCTGGGTGCTGTTGCTGCCCCGCTGGGCCCCTACAGCCCAGGTGCCAGGACTCCAGCTGCAGGCAGGTGTGACACCAGGCTGCTCCCGTCAGTCCCCAAGCCTGGGACCCTGTCCGTGTTCCGCAGGGCCGGAAGCAGCACAGAACAGAAGACACTTGCTCTCAGGGTGAGCCCCAGGGCTGTTTATTGGGGTGCCTTGGTCCTGCACAATCCAGGCTGACAAGCGTTTAGCAGCTTACCCTCCCCAGGGGCCCTGGAGTGCTGTGGTCCATCATGAACCCTGCCCTTGAGGGTGGGGGAGCAGAGTACAGCAGCCTGGCATGGGGGCTTCAGGGGCATCCCCCACGGGCTGGATGCAGCCCTCCTGGGCACTGCAATAGCCAGGCCCAGGCTACAGTGTGCACACCCACCTATCCTCCATGCTCCTTCCCCTGCCTGGGTGGGCCCGACGCTCACTGCAGCTTGTAGGTGGCCAGTGTGGGCTTCTGGTGACCTTGGAGCCACTTCCTCTCAGTGTCCAGGACGGCGGCCTTGCTGGACTTCCGGGGGCGCCGCAGAAGCCAGGGGGAGGTGTAATTGTTCATCTTGGCTGTTGGGAAGCAGCACGCTGGTCAGCAGCTTTGCCCTGCAGACACTCCCTGCACACTGGCCAGGGCTGGCCTCCCCTGTGGGAATCCAGGAGGCCACACATGCCTGACAGCCACATGTGGGAGCCAGAGGCAGCGGCCCCACACCTCGTGGCCAGCCCTGGCCTGCCAGTGTGGGTGTCAGCACACATAGACACACTGGTACACATGCATGTGCATCCACACAACCCCACACGTTGTAAACACACGGTTCCCCTGCCAGGAACACGCCCCACACTCAGGTCAAGGCCCCTGTTGGCAGCAGCGCTGGGAACCCATGCACCCCTGAGCTCCAGCAGGGAAGGCCAGCCTCCCCATGGCTGCTCTCCCCAGCTTCAAGCCTCTGCAGAGATCAGAGGCCCGGGGGACCTTCATGGGAGCACCTGCTGGACACAGGCCTCTGGCCTAGAAGAGGACCAGCCAGATGGGTCTCCTGTGTGGCAGAGAAACACACCCTGCCTCCCGGGAAGTGGCCACCATCCAGTCAGGGCCCTCCATGTAAGCCATGGACTGGCCACTTCCTTTATTACAATCTTGACAGCTGTGGGAGATGGCTGTCACATGCAAATGAACCCTCCCCCGGGGCTCTTTGCAGACCTGGGCAGGGGCCTGGGTGAGCCATGGCAGCTCCCTCATACTGCAGGGGGACCAGAGTCGGTGACGTGGGCGATGCAGACAGACTGACCCCATGCTGTGCCGACACCCTGCCCTCTAACCCGCACCTGATGGGAGATGCGGTGTGCTGAGGGTGCAGACTGGGGCCGAGGAGCGACATAGCGGCAAGAAGGGTCTCCCAGAGCGTCATAATGCCATGAGAGAGGCACTGGGCTCGGCGACAGCAGAAGCAGCCGGGTGAGACGCCACACTGAGAAAGGCACCCCGGATGGTCAGAGGGTCCCACGTGTCTCAGAACTCAGCAGTAAACTGTTTCACTCAACTACAGACAAGTATGGGAACGGACATGCCTCGAGGTCCCCATCGCAGCACTTGGCCCCTGAATCCTGGGAGTGGACGCCCGTCACAGCTGTGGGAGCTTGCCTGTCACGTGCCAGGCGTGAACATGACTGCTTCCAGAGGTGGCAACGGTGCAGGTGGGGTGTGTGCTGCACACAGGCCAGCCCAGAGGCAATGTGTGACTGGGGGTGACAGCCCACAGGAGTGGGGCTCAGTCAGCCACACGGAAGCACACGTGTGTCCTCAGAGCCAGAGATGGGCCTGGGGGACACACAGACACATGCACGCACACACACATTCCTAGCAGTGCCTAGGAGGCAGATGGCTGCGATGCTGGGCTGGGGAAGCCCCGGCCAGGGGACCCAGGCTCCATTCAGTTAGAGGTTCCGGGGAATAACAGCCAGCCCTTCCTGAAAATTCCCCCACTGTATCCCCGGGGGGTGACAGTGTGATACAGGATTCAAGCCTGCGTCCTTACCACACACCTGGGCGTGCCAGCACTGTCCCCCCCCCACCCCAGTGATGTCTCAGCAAAGCCGGGTGGTGGGGACAGCCTCTCCCAGGAGGCAGCAGACGGCACTGGCTGAGTCCTGGGCAGTGGGGCAGGGAGATGCCCCAGTGGGCTGGAACCCACACCTGACCCAGCTTCCACAGCACACACAGGTTCGCTGCCTGCGCCCCCTGCACGGAGAGAGATCAAAGACGCATGCCGGGACCCTCACACCTCACGGACAAAGGGGTCTGTGCCTGCAGGCCTCCTACATCACTGCTGTGAGGAACACGCAATGGGGTGAGAATGGAACAAGGTAACACCTCAGTCCTGAAGCAGACAGGGCAGCCGGCTCCCCCGGGGAACGCGGAGTCCCAGCAGCACGCAGGACACGCTGCACACACAGGCATGGGGCGCGGGGGGCTGTGCAAGTGACTGAACAGCAGCAACAGGAAGATGCCCAACCTCATCTGTCTTGACCAGCCTGAAGGTGACAGCCCCAGGACTGGGCAGCTCTCACGCAACACGCGGAAGCCACACAAAAAGCAGATGTTGGGGCAGGGCCAGGCAACGGCTGCCCTCCCAACAGCGGCAGTCCCAGGCTCCATTGCTCAAGCAGCAGCCAGAGTGGGCTGAGGATGAGGCAAGGCCTGCCAAGGCAGCCAGGCTCGGGCAGGTGGGGCTGTGGACCCCAGGCTGCGTGGGCGCAGGCTGTGTCCGCAGTGTCCACTCTCCCCTGGCTCCTTGGCCTGTGTGTGCAGAACCCTGGCTCCTGAAGGTTCCAGACCCTTTGTCTCGTCACAGCCTTCCAGCAGGGACCCAAGCCCCATCCACCCGCCCCCACCCCACCCCTGCTGGGTACCTACGTCCACTGCCAGCCACCTCGACTCCTTCCCAGGCTCCCCGGGCAGCTGCCACTCCCCTTGGGGCAGGTACAGTTGGTTTGGGGCGGGTGGCACACCCTGCTCTGGTCTGGGGCACGGGCCCCTCTCTCCACACCCAAGCGACCACAGCCTGCCTGGATGTTGTGTCCTAGGGGGCGGGTCCAGCTCGGACACCCTGGCCCCACCACAGCAGCCTGTGGGTCCCCGCCCCCTGCCACTCTGCTGACCACACCCAGTCATCCTGCCATCTGCTCCCTGCCTCCCACAGACCTGGAGGGGCTGGGCAGGAGCTTAAGGGGACAGGGAGGTATGAGCTGGTGCTGAGCTAACCACAGCCCAGGAGATGAGGAATCCAGGCAGAACAGCAGCGAGGGCCATGGGCACTGATCTGCTGGCCCCAGCCTGGGTCTCCACCCAGGGACACGCATGTCCTCCAGGCACAAGGAAGTACAGCAAGCTACCTCCACCCAGCCCCTCCTGGCTGAGTGTCCCCACCGAGGCAGTGCAGGGCCAGGGCAGTGGGTGTCCACAAGGGCTGGTACTGGTGGGCGTCTCAGGGTGCTGCTGGCCCTAGATCCAGAAAGGAGGAGTGTCAAGCTATAGAGGCCCAGCGGGCAGACACAAGATCATGGGGCAGCCAGGCAGGCATACATGCCCTGTCTGCCCTTCCTGGCCCGAAGACCCTCCCTGAGCAGGAAGAGCCACCACGGGGACCCCGGATGCACCTGCTGCACTGCCCACAGCACAGGCGCAGAAACACAAGGCTCTGGCAATCCTGCTTCCTCCTCCTGAGCCAGGGGATGTCAGGGAGGTTGGGCTGCCAGTGAGAGCCACAGTGGGCACGCAATCTGGCAAGGGGGGCTGGAGGGGCAGTGTGGGCCCTGCATGTGGTGACACTGCAGCCCTCTCAGGTCACCTGTGCCCTCCTGGCACAGCTGCGTAGCAGGACATAGCCAGTTCAGAACTTTCCAGAAAGGCAGGGCCTCCAGTGGGAGCCTGGGGGCATTGCCCCAGTTGCACTGTGGGTGCTGGCCTCCAGCAGCCTGGTCAGCAGAGGGAGAGGTGACCACAGGGCGGGCAGAGGGCTGGACGTGCTGACAGTGCTGCTGCTGCTTGCTGCACACGGGGCCCTGCAGGCCTCACTGGAGTGGCTCACCATACATCCGAGGCCAACCTGGGAGCTGGCACAGAGAAGGGACTCCATATGGTCCCCATATCCCCTCCCCAGATGGCTCCAGGAGAGCTGGCCAAGCTCTGAAATATTTAGGAGACCAAGGATACGAATTCCCAGTGAGCTGGATCTCCCCAGTGACAGGGAGGAGCGAGGTTACGGGTCAGTATGGGACTGGAGCCGCCATAGGCCGTGCAGGCCATGGGGCGGGGGGAGGTACTGGTGGCTGAGCCGTCACACGCCATGCAGGCCATGGGAGGGGCAGGCTTCACCTCAGGAAGACAGACTGCCAGGCAACAGGCCACGCACGGGGCCCAGGGAAGGGAGAGAAAGAGTTCAAGGCCACACAACAACCAAATGAGCCTGGGCGCTCAACCATCCGTGGAGAGTAGGGGAGCCTGCATCTGCCCCAATGCAGAAATCAAGAGCAGCACAATCCCGAATGAACCATTCATGAGGACTTGGACAAGGCCCCTTGCTCACACAGCCACACCTCAGGATGGCCCTGGACAACACACGAGCTCCACAGCAGAAACATGGCCCAGCGAGGCCCAGCTGCCCACAGGCTCGCCTGACAGGAGGCAGGAAGGGGTTACTCCACTTTGGAGAGGCATCTCAACATCAAGGGCCATAAAAGGGGACAGTGACAGGGAGGCCCAATGCCACCTGGATGGGAGTCCCGTAAAAGCTGAGAAGAGCCAGGCAACCCCAGGGGCCACACACAGCAGTGTGAGGCCACCATCCTGTGCCAATCGGCTGAGCTCAGCCACAAAAGACAATGTCGGGATGTGGGCATCCTGTAGGGGTCATCACCAGAGAGCAGGCAGATGCACTTTGCTCAACCGTGCTGTGTATCAGAGTCAGCTGCAGGAAGTAACCTGAATGAAACAGAGCTGGAAGGCAAGTCGGGTCACAGCCAAGTCACCAGCTGAAAACAGAGGGACACTGGTCATGAGACCGTGTGTGTGAGTGCACTATGTGAGGTGTGTGTGTGAGTACATGTGTGTGTGTGAGTGCATGTGTATGAGGTGTGAGGTGTGTGCCAGTACATTTGTGTGAGTGCACTATGTGAGGTGTGAGTACATGTGTGTGAGTGTGTGTGTGAGGTGTGAGTATGTGTGTGTGAGTGCATGTGTGTGAGTGCACTATGTGAGGTGTGTGTGTGAGTGCATGTGTGTGTGTGAGTGCATGTGTATGAGGTGTGAGGTGTGTGCCAGTACATTTGTGTGAGTGCACTATGTGAGGTGTGAGTACATGTGTGTGAGTGCATGTGCGTGAGGTGTGAGTATGTGTGTGTGAGTGCATGTGTGTGAGGTGTGAGTATGTGTGTGTGAGTGCATGTGTGTGAGTGTGTGTGTGAGGTGTGAGTATGTGTGTGTGAGTGCATGTGTGGGGGGATGTGTATGAGGTGTGTGTGTATGAGGTGTGTGTGAGTGCACTATGTGAGGTGTGTGTGTGTGAGGTGTGAGTATGTGTGTGTGAGTGCATGTGTGTGAGGTGTGAGTATGTGTGTGTGAGTGCATGTGTGTGAGGTGTGAGTGTACATGTGTGTGAGTGTGCATATGTGAGGTGTGAGTGTATTTGTGTGAGTGTGTGTGAGGTGTGAGTGTATTGTGTGAGGTGTGTGTGAAGTGTACATGCGTGAGCTGTGTGAGGTGTGCATGTGTGAGCTGTGTGTGTGTGAGGTGTGAGGTATGTGTGTGAGGTGTGAGTGTATTGTGTGAGGTGTGTGTGAAGTGTGCATGTGTGAGCTGTGTGTGTATGAGGTGTGTGTGAGTGCACTATGTGAGGTCTGTGTGAGGTGAGGTGTGAGTGCGCATGTGTGAGGTGTGTGAGGTGTGAGAGCGTGTGAGGTGTGAGTGTGCATGTGTGTGCAGATTCCTTGTGATGTATGTTATGATAAGTTTCATGGGCCCAGCATGATAGCGTAGTGCTTAAAGTCCTCGCTTTGCACACGCCGGCATCCCATATGGGCGCTGGCTCTAATCCCGACGGCCCTGCTTCCCATCCAGCTCCCTGCTTGTGGCCTGGGAGAGCAGTCGAGGACGGCCCAAAGCCTTGGGACCCTGCACCTGCATAGGAGACCTGGAGGAGGTTGTGGCTCATGGCTTCGGATTGGCTCAGCTCCAGCCGTTGTAGTCACTTGGGGAGTGAATCATCAGATGGTTCCTCCTCTCTGTATGTCCAACTTTCCAGTAAAAATATTAAATAAAAAAAAAAAGGTCCGAGTGTCTGCAGAGCCCTCAGCATGTGTTCCAGGACTGATTGCAATTCCATGAGAAGGTACTTCCCCACAAGCTGACATCTTGTTTGTGAATATTCAGTCATTTTCATGGTCCGTATTGTGTCTTCTAGACGTGGGATGGCGGAGCACACACCCAGGCATTGCCCCCAGTCCTGAGCCCCTTCACCGGGAGACCAGGGACTGGCCTGCGCTGGGCGTCACGGCCCGGCCCCACCTCCACCACAAACAGAGCCCCACAGACAAGATACCCCGACACCCAGCACCTGAGCAAGCACTTCAGGCGGCCCAAGCCAGCCTCCCACCTGGGGACCCTTGAGCAGAGCTTCACTGCAGGCTGCTTGGGCAAGGAACGGCCCTGACACCCAGATCTGCCCCAGCACCCACTCCACCCCCCTCCTGGCAGCCACCTTCCCGTCTGTGGACAAGGCTGGTCCTGGCCCCATGTCCCTCATTCCTCCTGGCAACCAACCCACAAGCCCCACCAACACTGATCCAATGCCAGTGACTGCTGTGTCCAGGTCACCCAGGTCACCTCCAGCACAAGGCAGGCACAAAGCCAACATAGGTGGACGGCAGCAGGGAGCTGTGATCCACGAGAAGGCATGATGGCACTGAGCCCAGGACAGAACAGCTGCTTCCCCTGGGCACCCACCCCAGCACTCTGGGGCCCGCTGCTCAGCAGAGGCTCTGACACTCCACCAGCACAGCAGGGTGGTGAGGCAGGAGCAGAGCAGGGTGCGGTGGGGCTGCGGGGTGGCAGAGCGGGAGCAGAGCAGGGCTCAGTAGGGCTGCAGGGTGGGGCTGCGGGGTGGCAGGGTGGGAGCAGAGCAAAGCAGAATGCACACTCTGGGGGCTGTTTTATTGTGAGCTTGGATTCCACAGGCCAGCAGCCTGGGTGGCCCCTGTTGTAGGCAGAAGGCAATGGGCACAGCCCTCACCCAGTCCAGGCCACAGGCATTCAATGCTGCTCCTCCCACTTCACAGAGATCCTTCCCCTGTCCACTGGTCAGCCTCAGGGCAGGGCTCTGGAGGAGGAGGGGCACAGGAGGGGGCGGGTGTGGGGGAGGAGGCGGAGATGAGTATGGGAGGAAGAGGAAGAAGGGAGGGGTGTGGGAAGAGGGGTAAGACCCGGAGCCCCTACCAGGCAAGCAGCCTCAGGCCCCCAGTGCCCATCCTGAAGCCCACTCCCAGGAATGCCCAGGAGTCGGCAGGGACAGCCCCTTCACAGCAGGGTTGTCCTGGCCTGCAGGCTGCAGGGCTATGACCAGATTCAGGGGGCTCCCAAGCAGGGGCCTGTTAGGAGCCCATTCTGTAGAGGACAGAGGGCATGACTGGAGACTCCCAGGATGGACACACTGGGCAGACTCCCAGACAGGGACCTGGCACCTCTGCATACACAGGCTCCGTCCTCCTGTCAGCCAGACCTGGTGCGGCACCTCTCCCTGGGTCATCAGGAGGAAAAACGCTACATTTACAAAGACACTTGCTGATGTCCACCATGACACAAGACCAGATGAGCAGACTGGGAGCAAACTCCCAGAGGCAACCCCAAGGCCAGTGCCCAGAAGTCAAGGGACGGGGGTCTCTAACAAAGAGCCTCAGGTGTGACCACAGCCCCAGGTGTGAGCAGAGCCCCTGGAGTGAGCAGACACCCAGGTGTGACCACAGCCCCAGGTGTGAGCAGACACCCAGGTGTGACCACAGCCCCAAGTGTGAGCAGACACCCAGGTGTGACCACAGCCCCAGGTGTGAGCAGAGCCCCTGGAGTGAGCAGACACCCAGGTGTGAGCAGACACCAAGGTGTGACCACAGCCCCAGGTGTGACCACAGCCCCAGGTGTGACCACAGCCCCAGGTGTGAGCAGACACCCAGGTGTGACCACAGCCCCAGGTGTGAGCGGACACCCAGGTGTGAGCACAGCCCCAGGTGTGAGCAGACACCAAGGTGTGACCACAGCCCCAGGTGTGACCACAGCCCCAGGTGTGACCACAGCCCCAGGTGTGAGCAGACACCCCAGGTGTGAGCAGACACCCCAGGTGTGAGCAGATAACCAGAAGAAAGATCCTCAGGCACCTACGACCAAACTCTCTGGGCTCTGCAATGCCACCTTCTAGACAGCTGTCACACAAGAACACCCCCAGGTCAAAGGTCAGTCTGGCCCCACGGCCCCCTGCTCCCCTGCACACCCTGGAAGCAGGTCCTGGACCTTTAGAGACTCAAAGCAGCGCAGCCAGCCCTGACCTACCAATGGCCAGCATGTCGCCACAGTCCTTCTTGTGGAACTCGGCCCAGGCTCTGGTCTTGCAGTGCTTGCTGCAGGTCATGATCCCGTAGCAGCGTGTGCAGGGTGACAGGCGGACCCCGATGGAGCGGCCACAGTGATAGCAGAACTTGAAGAAGGGGACACTGCAAGAAAGGGTAGGGCTGTCAGACATTCCATGCCCAGCCCTATCAGCAGCAGGGCCGGCCCAGCCTGCACCCCCATACATACACACACAGGGAGAATGGTACTCAACTCAGGTAATGCCTGCCACACCCTGGAAGCTGCTCACAGGCCAGCAGGGAGGAAGGCCACAGGCACGGTGCCCAACCCACGCATGCGGGCCTGCGGGGCTGCCTCGCAGTGCCTCCTGCACTTTTGATGGGGACCATGACCCTCTCTGTCCCAGCCAGCCACCCAGGCTATATGGGAGGGGCCAACTACAGGATCAAGCCTGGCTCCTCTAGCCCTGAGCCCTGGAGCAGTGCAGTGAGAAGGGTGTGCTGCTGCTCTCAGGAGAGGCCAGCAGGGGGCAGGGCTGGGCCTCAGCACACTGTGGGCAGCCGAGCACTTAATTCAAGGGCAACCTGGAAGCAGCCTGGGCTGCAGTCCCGAGGGGCTCCCTCTGGGGACGGCAGGGGACCCCGAGGTGGCAGATGGCGGCCATGACAGTATGGAAGCAGCCGGGGTACAGTGCATGCGGCCAACGCTACACTACATCCTCTTTCGGGGAACATGGCAGGACAGCACCAAGGGGACAGGAGGTGAGGGCATCGACACGGGCCACTTCAGCCCAGGAATGGACAGATGGGCACCACCATTCCACATGGCTGCACAGGTCAGGAAGGCCAGGCACAGCAGGAGAGAGATGGGGGAGACCCCTGTACCCCACGTCATCGTGCAGAATTGAGGAAGTCAGGGATTGACGCCACGAAGAGCTCCTTGTCCTGCCCAGTAACACCGCTGACTTCCAGCATGCGCACGTGATGCAGAACGGAACAACGTGGGGCGAGGGCAGAGCAGACGTCAGGAATGCCCACTGTGACACACACACACACAGAGACCACTGAGGGACAAGGACACACACCCCTGAGGGACACTAAGACACACACCCCTGAGGGACACTGTGACACACACACACAGAGACCCCTGACGGACACTGACATACACACACACAGAGACCCCTGACGGACACTGACACACACACCTGAGGGACACTGTGACACACACACACCTGAGGGACACTGTAACACACACACAGAGACCCCTGAGGGACAAGGACACACACACCTGAGGGACACTGTGACACACACACACACCTGAGGGACACTGTAACACACATACAGAGACCCCTGAGGGACACTGTGACACACACACACCTGAGGGACAATGTCACACACACACACACAGACCCCTGAGGGACACTGACACACACGGAGACCCCTGAGGGACACTGACACACACACACACAGAGACCCCTGAGGGACACTGACACACACACAACCCCTGAGGGACACTGTGACACACACACACCTGAGGGACAATGTGACACACACACCTGAGGGACACTGACACACACACCCCTGAGGGACACTGACACACACACACCTGAGGGACACTGTGACACACATACCCCTGAGGGACACTGTGACACACACACACACAGAGACCCCTGAGGGACACTGACACACACACACCTGAGGGACACTGTGACACACATACAGAGACCCCTGAGGGACACTGTGACACACACACACCTGAGGGACAATGTGACACACACACACACAGACCCCTGAGGGACACTGACACACACGGAGACCCCTGAGGGACACTGACACACACACACACAGAGACCCCTGAGGGACACTGACACACACAACCCCTGAGGGACACTGTGACACACACACACCTGAGGGACACTGACACACATACCCCTGAGGGACACTGACACACACACCCCTGAGGGACACTGACACACACACACACACAGACCCCTGAGGGACACTGACACACACACACCTGAGGGACACTGTGACACACACACACACAGAGACCACTGAGGGACACTGACACACGCAACCCCTGAGGGACACTGTGACACACACACCCCTGAGGGACAATGTGACACACACACCTGAGGGACACTGACACACACACCCCTGAGGGACACTGACACACACACACCTGAGGGACACTGACACACATACACCTGAGGGACACTGTGACACACACACACACAGAGACCCCTGAGGGACACTGACACACACACACCTGAGGGACACTGTGACACACACACCTGAGGGACACTGTGACACACACAGAGACCCCTGAGTGACACTGACACACACACACACCTGAGGGACGCTGACACACACACACAGAGCCCCCGAGGGACACTGTGACACATACACACACAGAGATCCCTGAGGGACACTGTGACACACACCCCTGAGGGACACTGTGACACACACACACACAGACCCCTGACGGACACTGACACACACACCTGAGGGACACTGTGACACACACACACAGAGACCCCTGACGGACACTGACACACACACCTGAGGGACACTGTGACACACACACACACCTGAGGGACACTGACACACACACCCCTGAGGGACACTGTGACCCACACACACCTGAGGGACACTGACACACACACACACACAGACCCCTGAGGGACACTGACACACACACACCTGAGGGACACTGTGACACACACACACACAGAGACCACTGAGGGACACTGACACACACAACCCCTGAGGGACACTGTGACACACACACACCTGAGGGACAATGTGACACACACACCTGAGGGACACTGACACACACACCCCTGAGGGACACTGACACACACACACCTGAGGGACACTGACACACATACACCTGAGGGACACTGTGACACACACACACAGAGACCCCTGACGGACACTGACACACACACACCTGAGGGACACTGACACACACACCCCTGAGGGACACTGTGACCCACACACACCTGAGGGACACTGACACACACACACACACACAGAGACCCCTGAGGGACACTGACACACACACCCCTGAGGGACACTGTGACACACACACAGAGACCCCTGAGGGACACTGACACACACACACACACACACACACACACACAGACCCCTGAGGGACACTGACACACACACACACACACACAGAGACCCCTGAGGGACACTGACACACACACACCTGAGGGACACTGTGACACACACACAGAGACCCCTGAGGGACACTGACACACACACACACACACACACACACACAGACCCCTGAGGGACACTGACACACACACACACAGAGACCCCTGAGGGACACTGACACACACACACCTGAGGGACACTGTGACACAACCTACAGTGTTCTATCAGTGTCTATCCAGGCAGTACACTCCTGACCTCATACTCTCCATGCCCAGGGTTAATGTAACATTCCTGCTGCCTGAGCAGGGCTAACTCCAGGAGGTAACTCCAGGGTCACAGACTGGCAGCTGTTGCTCCATGGTGTGGTCCCAGACTCCCAGCACTCACCTCCTCATGGGTCCCAGGCTCCCAGTGCTCACCTCCCCATGGGTCCCAGGCCCCCAGTGCTCACCCTGTGTGGGTCTCTGGACCCCCAGCACCCACCTCACCATGTGGTGTCTGAGCCCCAGCACTCACCTCCCCATGGTCCCAGGCCCCCAGTGCTCACCCTGTGTGGGTCTCTGGACCCCCAGCACCCACCTCTCCATGTGGTGTCTGAGCCCCAGCACCCACCTCTCCATGTGGTGTCTGAGCCCCAGCACTCACCTCTCCATGTGGTGTCTGAGCCCCAGCACCCACCTCTCCATGTGGTGTCTGAGCCCCAGCACTCACCTCCCAGGGTCCTCCGCACTTGACGTCTTGCGCACACTGGGGGTCCTTTTCCTCAGCCTGTGGCTTGTGACCAGCTCAGCTGCAATAGAGACCATGTTAGCGACAAGTGGGCGCAGAGGGCAGCACTGGATGCTGCGTCCTTGGTGCTTCAGTCAGGCCTCTGTGCTGTCGGGGAGGCAGACACCACAGCAGGGGCCAGGAGTTGGGTGTATCCAGCACCCAGGGAGGATGTAGCCCCATCTCCTTCCACATCTCGTCCATGTCCACCAGGTACGGCCTGCCGGTCACCACCTCATCCACACTGCTTCCCAGCAGTGGCCCTGGGGGAACTGCATCTAAAAGCCACAGTGCAGCACAGGTTGTCGCAGCCCCTCTGCAGAGCTGCTCTCAGGCAGCTGGTGGCCAGGGACCCCAGGGCAGTAACCTCCACTTTGAACAGTCCAGGGCCATCTGGTCCCTCTGCTTCCCTGTCCAGAGAGGCCAGCTAATGTCCACTTCCCCGCTGCTCCTTGTGATGCAGGAACCCTATGGAAGTCCAACAGCTGGCCAGGAGCCAGAAGAGGAAGCTGGTGTCCAGAGCCACTGTCCCCATTTTGGAACACGACACGGGACCAGGAGCCCACCATGCGACAGTGACGGCACATGACAGAGAAATGCTTCAGGCCCCAGTGAGGTCCAAAGAGGATCTGTGATAACAGCCAGTGTCACAGGTGTGTGACGCTGGCAAGGAGGTTGCTGTCACATGGAGGCAGGACTCTTCTAGCTCACGGCACCATGGCCGGGCCAGCCGGCAGCCTGGTGGCCCCTCCACCACAGCCTCTCACTTTGCAGGGAGTTCTGCTCGGCCATCCACCCAGTTCCCCTGCAGGGCCCCGTCATCACTTCCTACAGCTGAACACCCGCCCACCTCCCAGGGTTGGTGCCATGGGGTATAACCCATGAGTGTCCACAGCCACCATGGGTGTGTCCAGGCCAGGCTCCTAGCAGGCCCACTGACATGGCTGAGTGCTTGTCACTTCTGACCTTTGCCCAGGGAACCTAGAGCCCCACAGAGCAGTCCCACTATGTCAGGACTCCAAAGGGAAAGAGCAGGGCAGGCAGCCTCTGCCTCATCGCCACCCCAGGGCTCTCTGCACTGTTGTGCTGCCCTGCTCTGTGCCACTTGCCCTGACCTGGTGCCCCAGCCTCATGGCCTGTGTGCCCTTGCCCAATGCTCACCTGCCCACTGTGCCCACTTCTCTTGCTCAGCTCACCCACCCTGCCCACCCACCCACTGTGCCAACATCTCTTGCTCAGCTCACCCACCCTGCCCACCTGCCCACTGTGCCCACCTCTCTTGCTCAGCTCACCCATGCTGTCCATCTGCCCACAGTGCCCACCTCTCTTGCTCAGCTCACCCACCCTGCCCACGCACCTGCTGTGCCCACCTCTCTTGCTCAGCTCACCCACCCTGCCCACGCACCTGCTGTGCCCACCTCTCTTGCTCTGCTCACCCACCCTGCCCACGCACCCGCTGTGCCCACCTCTCTTGCTCAGGTACAGTGCCTTTGGGTCCCACTGGCTTTCCTTGGCAAGCACTGCGAGGCGCAGCTGGGTGCCCATGTGCTCTAACAGCTTCTTCCGGGCCAGCAGGGTCTCCCGCTCCGCCGGCATCAGCGCGTGGTATGGGCAATGTGCGATCTTCCGGTCCTGAGGCCAGCGACAAGTTCACTCTGGGGCTGGCGGTTTCTGAACCCCACCTGTCTACACACTCAAGACCATACCTGGAAGAATTTGAAGTAGCCATAGTCCACGGCCGTGCCCACAGCCACCTTGTCGCCCTGCGTCAGCATCACGGGCCTCAGGATGTCGGCCCCGTGGAGGATGAGCTGGTCAACCTGCACACAGCAGAACCAGGTAGACATGAACACCAGAGCCGGAGGTGGCAGCCTCCCTGGGACCCATCCTCCACCTGCTGCTGCAACTTGGTCACAGGCCAGTGGCTGCCAGTCTTTGAGGACACACTGGCCAAACGGTTGGACAGCAGCCTGAGGACCCCACCTGGCAGGCACGTCCCAGACACCAGTGTCACCTGTACTTACTCCCCATGACACTAGCCAGACACGTGCGGGGCAGCCAGGGCCTACATCACAGACAAGGAAGTTCTGCTGAGCCTCGTGCCCCGGTCATGGCGATCCAGGCTCCGCCCCTGCCCAGTGTGGTCAAACCTGGACTGAGTTTCTGGCCTCAGCCGAGGGGCCCAGCCCTGGCAGGGGTTAGGAAGTAGACTCTGCCCCTTCTACCTCTGAGATAAACTTAGAAGGAGAAGATCAGACGCATTGCAAAAGAGACAAATGCCATTGTCCTTCTTTATCTAGAAAATTCCAATGGGTCAGCTGGGAGACTGAGGCTACTGGGAGCTAACTATGTGGTCACCATGACAACTGCTCACCCCGACATTCACGGACACACACTGAGGTCTCTGCATAGGGTGCTGTCCCCTTCTCAGCCTTCCGTGGGCCAGCGGCCAGCAGGACAGCAATGGTCCAGGCACCGGGCACTAGCTCTCGGTCTGTCAGCTGTGCTTACGGCCAGGACAGATGTCTTCAAGGCCCTCTAGGATGTGGGCAAGAACTGCCAAGGTGCCCAGCTCTGTAGCACCAACCAAGGGCTGTACAGGGGTGGGGGAGCCTGTTACACTGGACCTGGGGGGATGGCCTGCAGTGGACAGTCCAGAGGAAGCCTGGCAGATTCATGCCATGTGTGGGTCCCCAAGGGCATGGCAGCCACTGGGGCATTGGTAGCTGCAGGGAGAGTAGCCCCTGGGCAGTGAGATTGTGGGGTGGGGCACATGGTGAGGAGCTGTCCCCCACCAAGTAGGAAAGACAAAATGACCATGGGAAACAAGCTGGCTCAAGCTGATGGGGGTCGTCCATCATGAACCACATTCCTAGGGGCTTTCTCAGGCCACTCCCATGTTTCTGCTCTCTGCAGTGGGAAGCAGGGCAGTGTTAGGGCACGTGGCCTGGCACCAGGGGTGAGGTGGCCAAGGCAGGGGGGCAAGACAAGGGCCCATTGAGAGAGGCACAGAGACAGGGTGCAATGAGAGGAAGGTGGAGGTGGCAAGGTCAGACCACCAGAACTACTCACGGTGGTGCTTTTGCAACTTCTCACTCCCTCACACCCTGATTGCCACCACAGGGTCAGCTGGAGGCCCAGCCAGGACACCACTACAGGCACTGCGGCGCGGGCTGTGGAGCACTGAGGGCCCACGCCATACTACGAGGGTCTTAAATGTTAACTCGCAGGGAGTAACCACACTCTGCTGAGTCTAGGCCTGGGAGGAAAGCCTGGAGTGTACAGGGGCCACCACATGGCAAACAGCAAGGCAGCTGCTTGGCCCAGGTCAGCTGGGCGGCTCGACTGGCCAACAGCAACGACTCCCGCTCCACTTCCCTAACACTCCCGGGATGCATTCCCAGGCTTGGGCAGTGCTGCCTGGGCGAGGCACTCGGGGAGGAAGCTGGGCTGCTGAGCCGCCTCTCCTGCCCCTTCACAGATTCTGGTCCCAGGAGGACCAGAGAGAACCCCAGCAGGCACAGCCAGTCCCCAGGGCCAGAAGTCTCAAGTGCTGTTCTGTTGCCCCACCACCATGCCACAGGACCTGGAAGGCGCACCACCTCTGTGCACCAATGAACTGCAAGGCAAGGGGAGAAAGTGTGTCTGCAGACACATGGACACATTTGATATCTGTCCTCTCTCCCTGGCAACACAGAACTATTACACAGTATCCATAGTGTAGCCTGCACAACTGAAAAGCATGCACACTGCGTCAGTTGCTGCCCGATGTGGCCAGGCCTGAAGACAAGCCGGGAAGCAGTGGAGCCTGATGGAGAACTCACAGGGGCAGGCCAGGACCACCTATGGGCATGTCCTCAACAGCACACCTGGGGGATGGGGACACAGCGGATGGGACACTGGATGCCCCTTCCATTTGCAAATGGATGTCGGTTCTCAGCTAAAGGTCTGCTCCTGCAAAATACACTTGAACCAGAGGACTCGACGCTTCCCCTCTCCCTCCTCTTCCTCTTCTGCCCACAGCTGCCTGGACTGGGTCTGGCCCAAGATGGACAGGGGAGCCAGGTCTGGGTGGTGTGAGCAGTGGCTGCACCGTGGGGACAGGGAAGTGGCAGCGTGCAGAGAGGACTGTGGCTGCATCCTGTCTCAGCTGAGCTGGCCACACCAGGGTCAGGGAGGGTCCAGGAGGGAAGAGTGTGAGGGGTCTGAGGTGGCTGGAGCAGCCCCAGAGCAGCTCAGAGCACAAGGCATGCATGCATGAAGACCTCTGTCAGGAGACGCAGGAGGCCATGTGCCCAGGCAATGGCTCTCCCCTCAGGGCCAGGACATGGCACAGGTGTCGCATCCCTGACAGCAGGAAGGCTCCTGTTGGCACGGCCACATCACAGTGTGTCAGGAGCAGTCTTGTCTCTATTCCCACGATGAAATACGATGGTCTACAGGCCCCAGAGCTACTGCACACAAGCCCCACAGCCACAACAGGGTCCAAGGACCACCTGCACCCCCATACATACACAGACACCCTTGTCTCCTTTAGATCTGCCCAGCCATCCCCCACCCCAACCAGGATCAGCCCATTCATACACACCACCAGAGCCCTCCTCCCCGGGACCAGACCTCACCAGGGCCAATCCCCCAGGCCCCCTCCCCAGGACCAGACCTCACCAGGGCCAATCCCCCAGGCCCCTCCCCAGGACCAGACCTCTCACCAGGGCCAATCCCCAGGCCCCCTCCCCAGGACCAGACCTCACCAGAGCCAATCCCCCAGGCCCCTCCCCAGGACCAGACCTCACCAGGGCCAATCCCCCAGGCCCCTCCCCACAACCAGACCTCACCAGGGCCAATCCCCCAGGCCCCCTCCCCAGGACCAGACCTCACCAGGGCCAGCCCCCCGGGACCCCCTCCCCACAACCAGACCTCACCAGGGCCAGCCTGCTGTTGGTGCTCCTCAGCTGTTCGTAGGCAATGTCACAGACCACACACAGGGCACTTCCCAGGCCTTTGGTCAGGGGCAGGTTGGGGTCCACGCCATGGGACAGAAGCTCTTTCACAATCTGGACACAGGCAAGTGGTCAGTGACCCCAAGTCACCTCCCAGGCTGCACACAACTGTCCTTTCCACATGGCCCTCACAGGCAGGGCTGCTGGGCTGCTAGGCGTCTGCCTCTAGCACCGTCACTCACGGGCACTTCCTGGCTGCTCTCACGTGTCCTACCAGTGTTCCCAGCACAGGGTCAGGGCATAGCCTGAGCCGTTCCCCTACTCCTCCCAGGACATCTGCCTTGTACCAGAGAGCCTGGAGCTCCTAAGTAACCCTGTGCCCGCTCCCCGCCATGTCCACACGACCCCTGCACAGCACACACATGGGACTAGACTCCAGACCTGCTGTTCCTTCCACTGTGTTCTCTCCCCAGGAGCAACTCCTCCCCGCTGTGTCCCAGAATGGACCCCTCCTCCTTCTACCATGTCCTGTCCCCCAGGAGGGACCCCATTGTGTCTGTACCCCCAGAAGGGATCCCTCCTTCTCCCACTGTGTCTGTCACTCCCCAGAAGGGACCCCTCCTCCTGCATGTCCTGCCCCCATCAGGAGTGACCCCTCCGCATCCCACAGAGTGCTCACCAGGTCATTTCCACTGGCAATGGACAGCGACAATGGGGAGTGACCACTCCAAAGCGTGTTGGGGTTTGCTCTATGGGAGAGAAGGAGCCGGACTATTTCTGTGGCACACTGGGGGCGGGGGAGGGAGAAAGGCAAAGGCATAGCATGTTAAGGGGGTTCCCTCACCCCGAGGTGTGGGAGGCTATCAGCCGTCACATCAATGTGGCCACTCAGCTGTCCCTTCCTCCTTGCCAGCACCATGCCCAGGGCACAGGAAGTGTTCTCAGTATTAAATGGATGGGTGTGTGAGCTCGTGTGCATGAGTGTAAGCATGAATGTGCATGTGGGTGAGCATGCATGTGTGACTGTGTGAGTGTGTGTATGTGTGTGAGCCTGTGTGTGTGTGTGAGAGCCAGTGTGTGTGTGTGAGAGCCTGTGTGTGTGTGAGAGAGCCTGTGTGTGTGTGTGAGAGCCTGTGTGTGTGTGAGAGCCTCTGTGTGTGTGTGAGAGAGCCTGTGTGTGTGAGAGAGCCTGTGTGTGTGTGTGAGAGCCTGTGTGTGTGTGTGAGAGCCTGTGTGTGTGTGAGAGAGCCTCTGTGTGTGTGTGAGAGTCTGTGTGTGTGTGAGTCTGTGTGTGTGTGTGAGAGAGCCTGTGTGTGAGCCTGTGTGTGTGTGTGAGAGCCTGTGTGTGTGTGTGAGAGAGCCTGTGTGTGTGAGAGCCTGTGTGTGTGTGTGAGAGCCTGTGTGTGTGTGTGAGAGCCTGTGTGTGTGTGTGAGAGCCTGTGTGTGTGTGAGAGCCTGTGTGTGTGTGTGAGAGCCTGTGTGTGTGAGAGCCTGTGTGTGTGAGAGCCTGTGTGTGTGTGTGAGAGCCTGTGTGTGTGTGTGCGAGAGCCTCTGTGTGTGTGTGAGAGCCTCTGTGTGTGTGTGAGAGAGCCTGTGTGTGTGAGAGAGCCTGTGTGTGTGTGTGAGAGCCTGTGTGTGTGTGTGAGAGCCTGTGTGTGTGTGAGAGAGCCTGTGTGTGTGTGAGAGAGCCTCTGTGTGTGAGAGTCTGTGTGTGTGTGAGTCTGTGTGTGTGTGAGAGAGCCTGTGTGTGAGCCTGTGTGTGTGTGAGAGCCTGTGTGTGTGTGTGAGAGAGCCTGTGTGTGTGAGAGCCTGTGTGTGTGTGTGAGAGCCTGTGTGTGTGTGTGAGAGCCTGTGTGTGTGTGAGAGCCTGTGTGTGTGAGAGCCTGTGTGTGTGTGAGAGCCTGTGTGTGTGAGAGCCTGTGTGTGTGTGTGAGAGCCTCTGTGTGTGTGTGCGAGAGCCTCTGTGTGTCTGTGAGAGCCTGTGTGTGTGAGAGCCTGTGTGTGTGAGAGCCTGTGTGTGTGTGAGAGCCTGTGTGTGTGTGTGAGAGCCTGTGTGTGTGTGAGAGCCTGTGTGTGTGTGAGAGCCTCTGTGTGTGTGTGAGCCTGTGTGTGTGTGTGAGAGCCTCTGTGTGTGTGAGCCTGTGTGTGTGAGAGCCTGTGTGCGTGTGTGAGAGCCTGTGTGTGTGTGAGAGCCTGTGTGTGTGAGAGCCTGTGTGTGTGTGAGAGCCTCTGTGTGTGTGTGAGAGCCTGTGTGTTGTGTGAGAGCCTCTGTGTGTGTGTGCGAGAGCCTCTGTGTGTGTGTGAGAGCCTGTGTGTGTGAGAGCCTGTGTGTGTGAGAGCCTGTGTGTGTGTGAGAGCCTGTGTGTGTGTGTGAGAGCCTGTGTGTGTGTGAGAGCCTCTGTGTGTGTGTGAGCCTGTGTGTGTGTGTGAGAGCCTCTGTGTGTGTGTGAGCCTGTGTGTGTGAGAGCCTGTGTGCGTGTGTGAGAGAGCCTGTGTGTGTGTGTGTGAGAGCCTGTGTGTGTGTGTGTGTGAGAGCCTGTGTGTGTGTGAGAGCCTGTGTGTGTGTGTGAGAGCCTGTGTGTGTGTGAGAGCCTGTGTGTGTGTGAGAGCCTGTGTGTGTGTGAGAGCCTGTGTGTGTGTGTGTGAGAGAGCCTGTGTGTGTGTGTGAGAGAGAGAGCCTGTGTGTGTGTGTGAGAGAGAGCCTCTGTGTGTGTGTGAAAGCCTGTGTGTGTGTGAGCCTGTGTGTGTGTGTGAGAGAGCCTCTGTGAGTGTGTGTGTGTGAGAGAGCCTGTGTGTGTGTGAGAGCCTGTGTGTGTGAGAGCCTGTGTGTGTGTGTGAGAGCCTGTGTGTGTGTGAGAGCCTGTGTGTGTGTGTGAGAGCCTCTGTGTGTGTGTGTGAGAGCCTCTGTGTGTGTGAGAGCCTCTGTGTGTGTGTGAGAGCCTCTGTGTGTGTGAGAGCCTGTGTGTGTGTGAGAGCCTGTGTGTGTGTGTGAGAGCCTGTGTGTGTGTGTGTGAGAGCCTGTGTGTGTGTGAGAGCCTGTGTGTGTGTGAGCCTGTGTGTGTGTGAGAGCCTGTGTGTGTGAGAGCCTGTGTGTGTGTGAGAGCCTGTGTGTGTGTGAGAGCCTGTGTGTGTGTGTGTGAGAGCCTGTGTGTGTGTGTGAGAGCCTGTGTGTGTGTGTGAGAGCCTGTGTGTGTGTGTGAGAGCCTGTGTGTGTGTGAGAGAGCCTGTGTGTGTGTGAGAGAGAGCCTCTGTGTGTGTGTGTGTGAGAGCCTGTGTGTGTGTGTGAGAGCCTCTGTGTGTGTGTGAGAGCCTCTGTGTGTGTGTACGAGAGCCTCTGTGTGAGAGAGAGCCTCTGTGTGTGTGTGAGAGCCTGTGTGTGTGTGAGTCTGTGTGTGTGAGAGCCTGTGTGTGTGTGTGTGAGAGCCTGTGTGTGTGTGAGAGCCTGTGTGTGTGAGAGCCTGTGTGTGTGTGTGAGAGCCTGTGTGTGTGTGTGAGAGCCTGTGTGTGTGTGAGAGAGCCTCTGTGTGTGTGTGAGAGTCTGTGTGTGTGTGAGTCTGTGTGTGTGTGTGAGAGAGCCTGTGTGTGAGCCTGTGTGTGTGTGTGAGAGCCTGTGTGTGTGTGAGAGAGAGCCTGTGTGTGTGAGAGCCTGTGTGTGTGTGTGAGAGCCTGTGTGTGTGTGAGAGCCTGTGTGTGTGTGTGCGAGAGCCTGTGTGTGTGTGAGAGCCTCTGTGTGTGTGTGAGAGCCTGTGTGTGTGAGAGCCTGTGTGTGTGTGTGTGTGAGAGCCTCTGTGTGTGTGTGCGAGAGCCTCTGTGTGTGTGTGAGAGCCTGTGTGTGTGAGAGCCTGTGTGTGTGAGAGCCTGTGTGTGTGTGTGAGAGCCTGTGTGTGTGTGTGAGAGAGCCTGTGTGTGTGTGAGAGCCTGTGTGTGTGTGTGAGAGCCTGTGTGTGTGTGTGAGAGCCTCTGTGTGTGTGTGAGCCTGTGTGTGTGTGTGTGAGAGCCTGTGTGTGTGTGAGCCTGTGTGTGAGAGCCTGTGTGCGTGTGTGAGAGAGCCTGTGTGTGTGTGTGTGAGAGCCTGTGTGTGTGTGAGAGCCTGTGTGTGTGTGTGAGAGCCTGTGTGTGTGTGAGAGCCTGTGTGTGTGTGTGAGAGCCTGTGTGTGTGTGAGAGCCTGTGTGTGTGTGTGTGAGAGATCCTGTGTGTGTGTGTGAGAGAGCCTGTGTGTGTGTGTGAGAGAGAGCCTCTGTGTGTGTGTGAAAGCCTGTGTGTGTGTGTGAGCCTGTGTGTGTGTGTGTGAGAGCCTCTGTGAGTGTGTGTGTGTGAGAGAGCCTGTGTGTGTGTGAGCCTGTGTGTGTGTGAGAGCCTGTGTGCGTGTGTGAGAGAGCCTGTGTGTGTGTGAGAGCCTGTGTGTGTGAGAGCCTGTGTGTGTGTGTGAGAGCCTGTGTGTGTGAGAGAGCCTGTGTGTGTGTGTGAGAGCCTGTATGTGTGTGAGCCTGTGTGTGTGAGAGCCTCTGTGTGTGTGTGAGAGCCTCTGTGTGTGTGAGAGCCTGTGTGTGTGAGAGCCTGTGTGTGTGTGTGAGAGCCTGTGTGTGTGTGTGTGAGAGCCTGTGTGTGTGTGAGAGCCTGTGTGTGTGTGAGAGCCTCTGTGTGTGTGTGAGCCTGTGTGTGTGTGAGCCTGTGTGTGTGTGAGAGCCTCTGTGTGTGTGTGAGCCTGTGTGTGTGAGAGCCTGTGTGCGTGTGTGAGAGCCTGTGTGTGTGTGAGAGCCTGTGTGTGTGAGAGCCTGTGTGTGTGTGAGAGCCTGTGTGTGTGTGAGAGCCTGTGTGTGTGTGTGAGAGCCTCTGTGTGTGTGTGCGAGAGCCTCTGTGTGTGTGTGAGAGCCTGTGTGTGTGAGAGCCTGTGTGTGTGTGAGAGCCTGTGTGTGTGTGTGAGAGCCTGTGTGTGTGTGAGAGCCTGTGTGTGTGTGAGAGCCTGTGTGTGTGTGTGTGAGCCTGTGTGTGTGTGTGAGAGCCTCTGTGTGTGTGTGAGCCTGTGTGTGTGAGAGCCTGTGTGCGTGTGTGAGAGAGCCTGTGTGTGTGTGTGTGAGAGCCTGTGTGTGTGTGTGTGTGAGAGCCTGTGTGTGTGTGAGAGCCTGTGTGTGTGTGTGAGAGCCTGTGTGTGTGTGAGAGCCTGTGTGTGTGTGAGAGCCTGTGTGTGTGTGAGAGCCTGTGTGTGTGTGTGTGAGAGAGCCTGTGTGTGTGTGTGAGAGAGAGAGCCTGTGTGTGTGTGTGAGAGAGAGCCTCTGTGTGTGTGTGAAAGCCTGTGTGTGTGTGTGAGCCTGTGTGTGTGTGTGAGAGAGCCTCTGTGAGTGTGTGTGTGTGAGAGAGCCTGTGTGTGTGTGAGAGCCTGTGTGTGTGAGAGCCCCTGTGTGTGTGTGAGAGCCTGTGTGTGTGTGAGAGCCTGTGTGTGTTGTTGAGAGCCTGTATGTGTGTGAGCCTGTGTGTGTGAGAGCCTCTGTGTGTGTGTGAGAGCCTGTGTGTGTGTGAGAGCCTGTGTGTGTGTGTGTGAGCCTGTGTGTGTGTGTGAGAGCCTGTGTGTGTGTGAGAGAGAGCCTGTGTGTGTGAGAGCCTGTGTGTGTGTGTGAGAGCCTGTGTGTGTGTGTGAGAGCCTGTGTGTGTGTGAGAGCCTGTGTGTGTGTGTGCGAGAGCCTGTGTGTGTGTGAGAGCCTCTGTGTGTGTGAGAGCCTGTGTGTGTGAGAGCCTGTGTGTGTGTGTGTGAGAGCCTCTGTGTGTGTGTGCGAGAGCCTCTGTGTGTG